ACACACTGAAATGGCACACTGAAAAAAAAAAAGAAAAGTGACTTTTAACTTGAACATGGAGCTGCTGCTGTGTGCTCTGTCACTGGAAATAACTCTGCGGGGAACAGCGCATTAATGAAGTTCTTCAAATATGGATCTTCTCGCTTTCAATAGGCCCGTTTCTTTTTTCAATCTGTCTATTGCTTGGAAAAGTCGACTGGGAAGCTTTTTTGTAGTCTTTGTGTGTGTGTGTGTATGTATGTATGTGTGTGTATGCGTGCGTGCGTATGGCTGAAGAGTGCTCAAATCCAAGGTTTTACCTTTACTTGATAGGTACCACCAGCAGGGTGGGTTGCTTTAGGCCGTGCAGTAGCATATTTTGTTGATACAAAGAATGAATACCAACGATTTAAAATACATTTTATGGTTTCAATATGCCTTCTTAGAAGTCATTCAACACTTTATCCAGAAGAAGTTAACCAGAAAGCTGCTCTGATTTTTGCATTGTATTTGTGTATGTTTTAACAAACATTATGGCATCATCTCTGTGTAAGAGTCTATCCAACATTACACGGATATTTATTACATTCATATTATTTAAAGGCATATTTTGATTTTAGTTACAATTTAATATTTGCATCCGTCTTGTTTTTTTACTTTTTTATTTACTATTTCTCTCTCCAATCTCTGTCTATTGCTGTACTTTCTTGTGGAAATTATTTTACAAATATTAGATAATGATAAGGTTGAGAGTGCACCTAGATCTTTGAGTGGTGACTCATAAGTTGTAGTTGTTCATGGACGGGTCGATGGGCAGCGGCGTCTCGCAGAAGTACTCGTGCTTGAGCCCCTCGTCCGATAGAATCCTCTTTTGTTACATTTTTGTTAGAATGACAATTGATACGTTTTTGCTTTATTTTACTAAACTTGACCTTAAAATAACTCCAGAGTCATGTTTCAACTTTTTTAGAAAGAATAATGAAAAAAGACAAAAGAAAACTGTACAATGGAGCGCAGTGGTTTAGAGGCTGGCCTCGAGGCGCTCTATTGATGTAGATGATGAACATAGTCAAAATGATGGTAAGACTTTCAATTAAACAATCCCAATATTTAATCCTATACTCATGTTATTATGATCAATCCTTTGTACTCCTCCTCATCATTATATAAACAGATGGTCATTCTACAACACAATAATACACCTGCACGCCCTCTTCTCTAGCTTTTGGTGTATTGTTGGTCAGACCGGGGTCACTGTTGCCAGCGTGCACTGAAATGCGATAGTGTTAAAGCGATAGTGTTAATAGCCATTAATCATTGCTGCACCACACTGGCCTAATGGACAGGGACGCTGCTCGGGGCGTTACTGAGAACATCACTCGCTGTGTGTGGTGTTTTCTGCCACAGGACCAGTACAATATGGACATGAACTTTGTTTTGTCCTCCTGACAGAGGCTGGTGGTTGTGGAAGCGAAGAAACAATATGAATATGTGGAAGATAAGGTTAGAGGAACAGTGAGGATAATTGGTCTTTTTGTGTGTGTGTGTGTGTGTGTGTGTGTGTGTGTGTGTGTGTGTGTGCGTGTGTGTGTTTGGATGTGTTCCCCATCCCTACACTGCGTAGCATGAATAATGATTTAAATGGGGTCAGATTCCATTGGAGACGCTCACCTGTATCCGACACTAGTGGTATCGCGTAGCTGCCATTAATGTCCAATTTTCAATGAAAACAGAAATAGAATACAGACTGATAAGGGTAACACACCATCCAGCTTCACACCCAGCCACATAATTACCCCAATGGGCTGTGGTGAGGGATCATATCCTGGCGCGCACCGGGGGGTCAGCAGCGATAAGCTTCAGCCCGGCTCCCAACATGCAGCATAATTACTCTATTGATAATTCACCAGGAAAACCATCCCGGCCAATTGCAGAGCTCCGATTTAATGGATTGGACTGTGAAAGGAGGGAATGGAGGAAGGAGGCTGCGAGGGGGCAGCATATGCGTGTGTGTGGGGGGGGGGGGGGTGTACGAGGGGGCAACCAGCAAGGGCCTTTTATTAGAAATGAAAATATGTTCAGGCCATAGGGGGACCCATTTTCCCTGGAGATAATAAGGCCAATGAAATGTAAAGCAGGGAAAGGGCTTGGCATGGGGTCCAACTGTGTCTGTTTATCTGTGTGCGTCCTGCATTAGCCCATTTATCCCCAGCCCAAATTAGCTAATCATTCTCCAAGGGGAAGGACTTGGTCAGGAAATTGACATTTAGCAGCATAGGCTCACTCTATTAACTACAGTAAATTTAATTTGCTGCACACCCCAGAAGTGGGCTGTTTTCTTTGCCATCAGAGGGAGAGGGAGACGGAGACAGACAGAGACAGAGAGAGGGAGGGAGGGAGACAGAGAGAGTGTGAGATTGTGTTTATTGCATCTGCTGCTTCTGGCCACAATTTGCTTGGCTCTAAATATAAGACTTTTGGTTTGGAACACTGCAGCTCTGTTGTATTTCCCCTCATGTACTGTTGATTACAAACATACGCAGGCATTGTCGGCACATAGATTCACTCATTCCAAGGTCTGTTTGTGCCATTGATGGATTATCTCACTTGGAGACTCCAAACCCCAAAAATGCCAATGTTTTTCCTTTTTTTTCTTTTTTCCCATTAGCTGTGATTCTATGACAAAACCAATCGTAGCTCCAGCAAACAATATTAAACATGCTAAGTCAAATGGCCTGTGACTGATGGCTGCTTTCACCTCTGAATCAGATGTCATGATGATTGTTTTTGATCATCACTCCAGGGTTTCTGCTTTAGTAGCTGTTCTGCAATGAGACTGGCTTTTCTGTGGGGAAAAGTTATTAATGCAGATAAAAATAACAAGCATTCGCTTTTTAATACTTCTCAAATGTGACGACTTGCTGTTTTCTTGTCGTATCTGATTATAAACTCAATATTTTGGACTTTTTTGGACAACCTGAAAACATAATCTTAAGCTTTGGGAAACTATAGCAAGCACTTTTCACAGCTCTCTGACATTCTATGGAAAAAATGATTAATCAAAAAAACAAATGGCTTAATAATCGATTAGTTTCAGCCCTATTTTCGGCTTTCATAAATGTAAAAACGTGTTTTTTTGTCTCCTGTGACAGTTAGTCGGATATCTTTTGGGTTTGGACAAAAGAAGACATTCGAAGCGAAGGGCTGCACATTTGTTCACTATTTTCTTTTGAAAGTCTGCAGATGAACCACTAATGTGCAGCTCTTATTGTAAACATGAAAATACAACTAAAACTTTCAGAGGTTCATGTGTACTCCATGCATTACTGAATATATGGTGTTGTTTTAATGCTACTGATCATTGTCTGACCGCTGCTTACTTACAGCAGATTGAACCTCCGTGGTTTTGGGAGAAAAAAAAACAGAACTTCAAATATTTTCTTTTGTTTTCGGTTTTCCAACGAGAGGGGAGCTCCTCTCAAGACCTTGAACTAGTGCAGCGAGCCAGTCTCCAGTGATCAGGAGCGCCCCGGCCTAATTGATTGCAACAGTTGTCAGAGTGTTGTCTGTTAGGAGGGTGACAGCCGTCTGAAGAAAATGATTAGTTTTCTGTCGGGAGTGAGACAGCTCTGGATGTCCCAAACTGCAAACTAATAAAGGGGGGAAAGCAATAAAGCTCGTGGACAGCAGGTTCGACTGTTTTTATAGACAAATCAATAAAATGATAGATGATGGAAAATAACGGCATCTCAGCTGCCGATTTCTTCTGGGGTTTCAAATCACGGTCCTTCGCACACACGTGCATGTACACTGACACAGGATGCCGACTCGCACGCACGCACGCACGCACACACGCACACAAGCAGAATATGTTGAAGGGATTTGTCTGCGTTAATAGAGGCATGTGCAGTGACGCATAAATAAGCGGTTATGATTTGGTAATTTGTGTCGCTGTGTGTATGGCACAATATTGAAGCATGAGTTACACTTTCAATTCACTTTTTGTTGATGTTTAAATGATGTGTGTGTGTGTGTGTGTGTGTTTGTGTGTCATAACTAACAAAGTTAATCTCCCGCTGTTAATCTTTTTGAGACCAGAGGGCCAGTGTCAGGATCAATACCGAGGACAGGCCTTCCTCTGAGCCCGCCTCTAATTGGCTCCATTTCTACTGTGTGTGTGTGTGTGTGTGTGTGTCATGCTGTATGTGATTGTACGTAACTGTATTATTAGGTCCATCCAATGCAGGATGGATTTGTTCACTCAAGAAAAAATGTGATCCTAGTGAGTTTTATTTTGAGCTTTGTGAAGCGATTAGAACGTTATGTGTTGATGGAAAGTCATTATCTCCAGAAAGTTGGTCTCACGTCGGGATGAGGTGTCATTTGCAGATGATTTAGCCGGTTTGGAAGTCTTTGTTACACGTAACATAAGTCTGTTGAATAAAAATCCAGTATGAGTAGAGCAAAAAACCCTTATTGTCAGCAGATTAAGGCATTTATAAAATGGTATATGCTAAAATATATTTAGGAATAAAAGTTTGCAGTTTTACTTAAGTTGGACGCTAGCATTAGCTGATTCTTGTGTATTTTGACAATTTTACAATAAAAGAGCGATAGATTTTGTTACCAAGCAATGAACCGAATCACCTGCACTGCAATGCATCCACAAGATGTGTTCTCCATCGCTCCCATACTTCCTATTTCTTCTTCCTGTCACGTGTATAACTGACAGCTGAGTGAAACATTCTCAGCCACATTGGCTGGGAGTGATCCAAAGACATTCTGGTAAATACAGTCAATAATTAACTGTAAGGAGAAGTAGACGAGGCAGAAAGAAATATATCGTGGTTGGTACAGGTTGGTGATATTTAACACTGCAGTAGTATTTGAAGGCTCATTTGTGGGGAAAAAGAAAACTACCAGCATTTTACTTATTTGTTGAGAAAAAAAGAGCAACCCCCCCCCCCCCCGTCCCAAATTAGTTGTAATATCTGTGGTTCTATGTCTTTTATGTCTTCCAGGTCTCATTCTCGCCACCGGCGGTCTCGCAGTAAAAGCGGCAGCCGACGCGGCACCCAAAGCCGCAAAAGAAGCGGCAGCCGCAGCCGCCGGCGGAGCCGCAGCCGAGAGCGGGACCAAAGCCGGCGCAAGGGCCGGGAGAGGGAGAAGGAGAAGGACAGGGACAGAGACAGAGACAGAGGACGAGACAGAGACAGAGACAAGGACAGGGAGGACAAGTGTAAGGACAAGGCAGTCAAGAAGGGGTAAGTGACAAATGACTTTTTCTACACGGAGGCGTTCATGAACAGGTGCTCACGAACACACCAAACAAGCACGGGGTTGGCACAGCTCAATCTAAACTGTAGGCACAGAATATGTTGGTCAGTATAATGCAGACTTAAATGCGGAGCTCAGTCTCAGCCCCTCCATCTGTCCATCCATCACTTGATCCTTCCATCCATCAATCAATCCATCTCTCCTTTTCTTCCTCCATTTCCCCTCGCAATCAAGCAACGGCCCACACTGGCCTTGTAATGCGATAGAATTCCCTCTTGTAAGGGAAGACGTCATGGGGAAAGTAGGAGTGCTGCACAGGTCTCGGTTTCAAGAGAATGTGTGGGTCACCAGATGATGTCTGACGACTTTAACTCCACTTTTCACCCAGCTGCAATAAGTCTAGAAACATAACAATATCATATGCATCTCTGATGTCTTTGGTGCTCATACCAAGAAAAAACAAAACAATAAATGAGACCGCCTTATCGAGGGCAGAAATGTTGGCAAATGACATCTTCACTTGCAAGTGTATGTCTTCTAAAGGCTGTAATGCTCACTAGAAGCAGGTTTAGAGTAGTCGATCTTTAAACAGCGGTGCACTCGGCTACAGGTCTAACTACCTTAGAGGCCTCTCGCTGCCTCGACCAGAATAGCACCCTCAATACCTCCCCAGTGCGGGGTGCTCTAATGTGATTTGAGGCCACTGTAATATGACTGGAACCCAGTTGTTTTCTGTCATATTGAATGGCACAGATGTGTGTATCAGACTATGGATCCCACGAGTGGTGCCGACCAGCCGCTGTGCTAAAACACGTCAATTTAAGAGACTTCAGCGTCCCTTCCTTAACAGATCACTTTACAATTAAGATTGAAAAAGTGTACATTCACATCCAAAGGTCAAACCAGGTTGATAAAGCTGCTATTTGTCTTTTCCAAACATATGAAAACTTTGAATACTTTGCACATAAACTTGTCCGAGAGAAAACATTTAGAGGCAGAATTTATTTCGAGGCTTTTCATTAAATGCACTAACAGACAAATGCAGTAATAGCCAAATGTCAATTTAGGATTTTACAAGCGTTTGATCCAACTGAAAATGATCTCCATTCCTCAGATGTGTTCTTGATGCAACTGTGGTAACAGATGATGAAACTCATAACTGTAGCAAACGGTCGTAAGACAAAAATGCAGCACATCTAAGAATGTTTTCCTTTTTTTTTTTAAACTTAGCTTGTGCACTACTGTCAAACTGTCACAGCACTTATTCTGGAAAATGTGTGTGTGCTGCATCTCATTAAGTTAAATAAATGCTAATTATTATTCTTTGACAGTGAATCTTAACTGAGATTTTTTAATGTGTTTTGCACAGTTATGACTGAGGGAAACATCCACATGATTAGAAATAAGGGTTAAGCATTCACATATCATTCAAGCTATGGCTTCTTGTTTCTTTAGATTTACACATTTTGTAAATGATCTTTAAATAGTGATTCATAAGTTCAGTACACTTGTTTTTAGAGCAGATGTGTTGATATTAATAATACATTCAGCGCTACTTTCTTTCATTCTTCTGGAGGCTTTATTGGTCATCAATGAAGACCTTTGGGGCTCAAGATATTTCTCTCTCTGTGTGTGAAAAGAACATGGAGATTTGCTTTTAAAGGAAAAGTACTCCATTTATTGTAAGCTATTACATATTGCCTTTCCTTAGATCCGTATCAGGAAAACAAATAAAGCTAACAGTGAAATGCACGGCCGGCCAACTATATCTATTTTCTTATTAAGGCTTCAATATCCTTCAGCATCGATAGGAATCTCTTCCTTTATCTCTGACCCCGCTTTAGCTTGTCTGTGTGCGTGTGTGTGTGTGTGTGTGTGCTGATATATGTAGGTTGGTTTGTGTGTGTGTGTGTGTGTGTGTGTGTGTGTGTGCAGTTCCACCTGTGGCAGTGTTAATATTCCTCAAACTGTCTATCCTCCTATCTGGCCTTCCAATTTACCTGTGGAGGTATGATGTTGGAATCATTTAGACTAACCCGTGTGGTGCTGACCTGCCATCGTACCGGCTGACACATACATACAAACAGATACTTCGGTTTCCTTTTGATCTGGGTATTGAAGATGGTTACTTGACTGTTTACATGCACTGTGCTCTTTTGGTCAATAATAATCTTCATAACAATTTATAGCGTACATAATTACTTATTTTTGGTCACAATTCATTTTACGGTTCTTGCTTCTGTAATTAACTTATCAGTTGTAGAAAGAAACACAGTGGGCGGAAGTATACATTGTTTTAATGTACAGTGTTTTTAATTTTTGTTAAACATACCATACTTGGATGCGCTTTGACAGTGCTGGGTAATCACTAAACATGTGATGATTCCATAAAAATACCCAATACTGAAATGTGTGCTTGATTTTTGATTGATTTATTTTTTTTTTCCACTTTATTTGTTACCGTATTTGTCTCCATCACCACACTTACAGTAAAATGAACGAGTACAGTTAAAATCCCATTGGTCTGTCTGTGGACGTTGCTATGATGGTATCAACGTCCAGAAAGTGGCTGACATGGATGTTCCTGATGTTCCCCAGTGGCTCCCACAGGAGTTCAGAGTTTCTTCAGCAGAAGAGAGGCAGTATAGCAGTGAGAGGTTTCAGGAATATAACAATACTCCTGTATATAATAATATGTAAAACAAGGCGTTCTGCAGTATTTCCTGTCGATGACAAGCCACTCCCCCCCCCCCCAATTCTTCTTCTTCTACTCTTAATGGTGATGGGGGTAGGGTCTTTATGTAAGCCCCTGATCCTCACCACTTACACACAAACACACACACACACACACACACTCCAACCTCATTTACATCCAGGTCTCCTTGCTGGGTGGTAGGCGAGGAGTAAAGCAGTGCGATGTTGATGGCGGGGTGGGGAAGAGGCTCGGGAGCTTTATAGTGTCTGTCAGGATGAAAGAGGGGCCCCTCAGAGCGGCACCCTGACACCGACTCTGTGTGAGCGCGAGCTCGTGTGCGGTGTTGTCGTCATTAAACATTTAACACTCCTCTAGTATGACAGCAGGCAACTTGGTGCTCCAGCGGCATGTTTTCATGCAACATTTATTGAAAAAGACGAGCTGCTGTTAAGAGATCTTGTTGCCTTTCACCGGTGGCAAAGGCTAAGTGGGTGATTGTAGGGTTCTGTGTGTGTGTGTGTGTGTGTGTGTGTGTGTGTGTGTGTGTGTGTGT